AGGAAAGAGGGAAGGTATGACTTGTCAACAAGAATATACCTATAGATAAGAGGTAGCAGAAAGCCTATGAAGTAAACAAGAATGTGAAGGAGAGATAAGAAATCCAAGAGCTAGATCACAAGTGCATTTATACCAAGTTCTGTTTGGGTCATTTGCATATTGTCTAACCCTTGGGTGTTGATATTAACAGTTGAAATTAATGGTTTGCTGATGACTACCCAAGACCCTATTTTTAGAAGTACAATTTTTATCAACAATTTTCCAAATTGATAGCTCTGATTAGACTCCTGTGTCTCTTTTCCAGTAAAGAGAGGAGGGAGAGAGAAGCAGATCTTTTATGCACATTGGTCCCATCATAAAACCACTTGAAGACTAGAGCTGAGATCTCTTATACGGCAGGGAAGGCAGCAGCAGGTTCACCATTTCCAGGGACAGGTTATTCAAACAACTAACAAGCAATGGAACAGGCTTACGAATGGCAGTATAGTTCACTTACTAAAGACCTCCAACCTCCATGCCACTCCACTTCCTGTAGGTATCTGAAGTGTATGTATTGATATATGCAGTGGTATTTACATTTCCTTGCAATTTTAGCTAAATTAGAGCTAGCTCTTGCCAACCATACTTTAATATTATTCACATTGGTTATATTTATAATCCTTTTGCAGGACGGCCTAATAAATTCTAGCCAATAAACCATGTTATTCACAAATTTAAAAATAAGTAGTCGTCTTTAATTCATCCTTTTAATTCATCAACTAGCATAGAAAAAAATTACACTCAACTGATAAACTAGAGTGCTGTACAACTATTTAAAAAATGAGATGAATCTATATGTATTCATACAGAAAGATGTCTATAATATGTTAAATGACAAAAACAAAGTATAAAGCAGTATTATATAACTCAATCCCTTTTGTGTTAAAAAAAGGGAGGAATATATATTCAAGTTATTGGATACTAAAACATTCTTCTTGGAAGATATGCAAGACACTTAACGGAGACCTTCATGAGGTTAGGGACACTGGGGTGAGAAGGGACTCTTTTAATTTTCATTTTATATGTTTCTATACTGTTTGATGTTTTTATCATGTTCATAATATTTTATCTATACATTCTCATTCTCATATCTATACCATTCTCATTCTCTTCGCAGTTTCTACTGCATTTGACCCACTTCTTACTGAAACTCTCAGCTAGAGATCTTCCAAATACTGCACGTTGTTTTCTTCTGTATACAAAATGGGGTTAATAATGCCTACCTCACAGGTTGGTCATGATGATTAAATGAGATAAAGTAGACATGAGGTTAAAAAAAAAAAAGGCATCTTACAAATGTCCAGTAGAGTGCCTGAAACATAGTAAGAACTTAATAATTGTTAGCTATTTATAGTGAAAATTGGTGTTTTTGTCACCCTGCATATATTCACTCTTTTCCTAACTACAAAGAATTTCTTCTTGGAGCACCACTTCCTCACTCTTAGCCATATGGCTTCAATGGAGCTAGCATGAGACCTAGGCTTAAGTCAATTAGAGATCTCCAATAGAAACTTTTATTTAACTAAAAGATGGGGAAGAAAGACACTTCTTAACCCCCAGGTCTTTAAGTTTAGGAAATTTGAGGCTAGAGTTACTGTAACACCTTACCATGGCAAGGGGAGAGCCTGGAGGTGTCAGAGACCACTACGTGAAGCCTGAGAATAATGCCAAGACAAGGAAATGCAAAGCAGAACAAAGAAAGAAACACAATCCTAGTGTCTTTGTTTGAACACTGAATCCAGTTATACTCACCTAACTTTTTGGTTATGGAAGTTAATTTTTTTTTCTCAAGACAATTTGGATTGGATTTTCTGTCACTTGTAATCTACAAAGTCCTCTCTGAGACATTACTATAATTATTTCTTCTTCCTATATTCTAAGAATGTACATTCTCTAGTGCTATCCTCTCTCTACTCACAACCTTAAAAATCTAATCTATTTTTAGTGTCCCAACTATTCTTGTAACTCTATCTCACCCTATTTTCTCTCCTGAACTATATTCTCCACCTCTAATGCCCACTGTATACCCTTCCTAATCTCAACCTATATGAATAAAAACAAACTCATTTTTCAAAACAGTCCATCCCCCAAAACTGCCCCATTTCCTCACTTCCCATTTTTTTCTATGTTAAGATAGGTGAGAGTTTCAACAAGACTAGTGTTCTAGGGGGCTTATATTATCAAGAGGAATATTCATTACTATCTCTCCTGTCTCTATATCCAATTTATTCATCTTGAACAATATTCTCTAAGTATTTATACATTACTTACATAAATTCATGTTTATTCATTTTGATCTATTATTTAATGTCTAATTAATCCAAATATTCACAATTAATTACAAACTTTGTTAATATTTTAAACATTTACCCACAAATCTAATTTCAGACTTTATGAAATGCTGTAACCACATCAGAAATGCTGTAACCACATTAGAAGGTAGACAAAACACATATTATTATAATGATGACAAAATCTAACTATGCACTTAAAGAATTGCAAATGTTAATTTTAATTCTATTCCAATTTTTCCCCTTGAACTTATTCTTATTTCTTCCTGTGGGGTACAACTTTTTGAAATATAAAAAGTAAGCGTTCTCTTCTCAGACTGCCTGAAATTATAGATAATGGTTGTTAGTAGATGATTTTGGACCAGAAAGATGAGACTTGGTTATACTTTCCAAGATCATTGTAACCTAGTCCATCCCAATTGGACCAGCTTCTTTTTATCCAAAGTACTGGCAGGGATCAATCAAGTCTTTATTTCTTGTGATCCTAATCTCTTCTCAAATCACTTCTTCACTTTCTCTGAGTGCCCTACTTTCACTCTAGATTTGTCTCCACTGTAGCTGTTTGTTATGAATTTCTTTCCTATGTTATACAACCTGGTTTAAGTCTGCTTAAAAAATATTTATTCTGAGTGGAGCATGGTTAGGTTCAACTAAATCTAAAGCTATTGGTCACTTTATTGATTTACTGAAATTACATTTCTTATCAGTCACTAAGACCAATCATTATTTAAAGCAACCATCAAAGGCAGTAAAACTAGGATTTATTTGTGACTTATCTTTCTTATCCCCTCATCACTAATCCAGGGATTCATAAAAAATAGAATCTGACTAACTTTAAGGGTTCAGACTCTTAACCATTAAAATCTACAAAAGCTATAGATTTTCCCCCAAAATGTGTCCAGATTTTTACCTTTCTACTGCGTAGGCACCTCCTACATGGAGGACTGGACAGTAAGAATCCAACTAAGTCATGCCTGATCTCAGTCTCTTTCCCTTTTTACACATCCCACTTAACTACTGTTAATTTTTTTTTTTACCAAGTCATTCCTTAGCTTAAAATTTTTCTAATATTTTGAAAACATCCTTGACCTGGCTTTCAAAACCCTTCATAAACTAATCTTCTAACTTGACATCCCATTATTCATCCTTAGCACATAGCCTAATAAGGTCAATGTCATAAACACAGCAGTACCAAATGCATATAGTGTGTGTGCTAGACAATCATAAACAATCCTATGAGGTAGGTATTATATGCTGGTTTTACAATAAAAAATCTCAGAGATTGATAAATTGAGTAAACTGTCTAAGCATGTAGCTAAAAAAATGATGAGATTTGCGACTCTTGTTATCTGTTACATCTTTCTACTACATCATGCTGTCTCCCATATACATAACTCAATTTGGTCTAGTCTTTGCTTTTTTCATGGTTAATATCTCTCCAACTCAGTTGTAATAGTGTTTTACAGACTGCAAAATTCCAAAAGATTCCAGATGTTTTCAAAGAGAACTGATTGCTACATTTTCTTGTACACCTACCAGCCAAATTTTTTTTGCACTAAGCTTTATTGTCTGTAGTTTGTCTTATGAAAACAATAATTTTTTTCAACTTATATTATCTCAAATATAAAGGTATATTACAATATCAAGTCAATGTTTATTCAAATCACACCAGTCTCCCAACCTCACCAAATTCTTACACTTGAGGGGAGTGTCCTCCACACTTCCTCTTGAGAAACACTGAACCTGAATATGCTCCTCAGGGCAAGAGTCATACTTACTTACTTAGAATGACAATGTAAATTCATTCATAAAGCAGATATACTGGGGCTTGAGTATGCCAAGTCCTAAGTCTACAAAAGTTAAAAGGGGGAATAAAAGAGGCTCCCAGTTCTCAATGTCAAGTACTTAAGAGTCGCTGAATAAATGCTTGTTGGACATAGTCAAATCGATTAATGGTTAACATTGTGAGGGATTAGGATCACGTTTGAGAATCTGATCAAAGTTCTGGGAAAACTAACTCCTCAGAAAAATTCACAAGCACCCAGAATTTTGTATACGATTTCGGGGGCGGGGGAAGTGGAGAAGAGGTGGTATGAACTCCTCTGAATTCCAATCACCTACCACCAGATCCACAAACTCCTGGTTAAAAACCTACTAGCAAAACTAAAAACCTACTAGCAAAACTAGATTCTCTGGGAACAGGTATACTTGCTTAATAATCCTGATTATGCCTGACAGTGCAATGTATACAAAAGCTACTTAAGAAATATTTGCTGATCAAAAATTTTCTCATACCCAGACACCAGCAAATCGTTTCTTCCATTACAGAGTCTTTCAGACAAATGATTTTAAAAACGCGAAACCCCCTTTCACTAGTGACATTAATGACCTAACACCAATAATTCGAAATCATTATTTTGCTTTTCACTACACGATCATTCACCAATCCAGGTTTTCTCTTCTCCTTGTTACCCCTCTACTCCCTCCAAACTCAGGGCTTCCTCCTTTGCATCCCAAAAGCTACGTCCAGAGCCGCACCGCCCCCAGGGAGACGGAAAATAACTGATGCTCCACTCCGCACACACCCTCATAGCAGGGAAGGTGGATCCAGTAATGGCTACAACTTCCAAACCCTTTCCTAACCTCTCGCCTAGAAGTAAAGAGATTTACCTTAAGTGGCAGGAAAGCGGTGGCGATCGTACTCACAGAAGTGGGACCAGTTACCAAGAAGCCTCGGGCCTCTCTTGTCACCATAGCGACTCCTAAGAGCTAAGTTCACTCCATCTTCCCGCGATACTTCCCTGCCGGGCGTCACCCGAGCAGGCCCTAGACCCCGCCCCTCAGCGAGCTCGCCCTCTCCTTAAGGGGCGTCATTGGACGACTGAGCCTTGACTTTAGCTGTGGGCGGAGCCCCACTCTATTTTTTTTATCTTTTTCAAAATTCTCAAGGTTTTTTAAAAAATATTTTTTATAAGAGTGCTATTGCCGTAGGCCCACGGAAAACATTGTTTCGCTTTTCTTATTCACTTAATAGAAAACGTCCCCTGCCGCCTGTGTCCCGCCAGCAGTTCGCGCATGCGCGTAAGCCACCAGAAGATGGCGGCGATAATCGCCGCATTTTTTTCAAATTAGTGGTTCCCAGAAAGCATTGCGCGCATTTGTAACGAATTTCCGTTCGAGTTTGTATTTTAGGCGCCATTTTCGAGTGAAGGACCCGCAGCCGAAACACCGGTAGGAGAGGGGGGTTATGCAACCGTTTCCAACCTTGGTCTGAGTGGACTATCCGGCAGGTAAAGTACTTCTTTTCCTCATCAGGTTGTCACACTCTTACTTCCTGTCCCGTCCGCGGGCTCCTGGAAAGTAGAGGCCTTGAGTTGGAGCAGCCGAAGTCTAGGCTGAGGCTGCCGCCGGGAGATTTCTCTCGCTGTCACCCCTCCCCCCTCGGCCGCTCCCCGGCAGTCGAGGCTCCCGCGCGCTTCTCCCGGGCGCCACTTCTCTGAGCTACATAAGCGTTGCTCAGGAGACTGGGGGCCCGGGGGGGGTGGTTGGGGGGAGCCTCTCGGCCTCGCGGACCTCTTCTCAGAAATCTCGGTCTTGGTCGGACTGTAGCGTGGCCCCCTGCCCGTCTCACTTCCCGCAAGGGACTAACCACCGGGTCTGAGCCCTTAACTGGTGACCTTTCGTAGTTTATTGTCCAACGGGATTCTGCCGCGGACCCCGGAGAGACAGACCCCTGCCATCTCAAGGCTATTGAACCGGAGCCGGCGCTGCCGGCTTCCGATTTGAAAATCGCGAGTGGTCGGACCCGGCCGGACTGTAGACAGCAGACCTCAAAGACCCCGGGCCGTCCGCTGCGCCGAGGGCTAAATGGCGGGGAGAGGAAAGTGGGCAGCTCGCCGCCAGTTGGTTCTTCGCTGCTCTGGGAAGAGGTGATAGATAGCCCTCCAAACGAACTCTTGTCTCTCAGAATCTGTGCGCTTGCATCCCTAGCCCAGAGAGCGTGGGAATGTCCGCAAATGCTAGCGTATGGGAATTGCTTCGTTTAGAAATTACGTTAGAATAGTCTTTCACACTTATACTGTGGGCGGACGGCGGGGGAGCCATTAAAAAGTAAAAAGAACCTAAGCAGTTGCTCTGTTCTTGCTTGATCCCCAAGCACGTCTAGGTTTTCCCACTTGCTTAGGACTTAAGAAAAAGAATCCCGCCTTCTTGGCACTTGAGTTTTTTGTGCCTTCTTTCTCGAGGACCCGCTGGCGTTGAGCGGGGTTTGACGACGGGGCTCTGGAAAACGGGTGGACGGAGTTTTCCCCGAATGGGACGGGGTGGGGAGCTGAGCCCGTCTCACCGGGAGTGGGGGTGGGGGGAACGTACCGGCACTGGCCCGCGGCCCGACTTGCTCCCGGCTCTCCCTCGGCCCCAGCGACCATGCCCCGTAAAGGCACCCAGCCCTCCACCGCCCGGCGCAGAGAGCAAGGGCCGCCGCAGTCCCCGGACGGCGCCAGCAGCGACGCGGAGCCCGAGCCGCCTCCCGGCCGCGCTGGGAGCCTCGCGCCTGCCACCGCAGGTGAGTAGCCTTTCGCGACGTCGCGGGCAAGCGCGGGGGAGACCCGGGTGCATCCGCGCCCAACCCAGTACTGGCTGGTGTTCTTGGGCGCGGACAAGAGGGGCTGCGGGGTTGACATCTGAATGTCAGGTAGAGCCGCTCAAGAAAGCGATTTGGCGATTTTCACAGATTAGACAATGTGCAATCGGTGTAACGGTGCCGGAGGGGATGGGGGCGAGTAAATAGCTTCAATTCTGAATTTCTGTTCATTGTCTTCTATTTCCACGGAAATCGACACGGTCAGCCAGGAGCTAGTGGACTGTTTTTCAGACAGAGTCAGCCTGGCTGTAATAATAATGATGAAAAGTTTCTTGACCCTGTAACTTCACCTTCGTGGTCTTAAATTGCTAAGAGAAGATGATAATTTACTCGAAACTACCGTAGCTTTTGTGAGTCCAGGAACTGAATGACATGAAACCCCTGTGACAGTGTCTCTAGAGCTCGCGAGTGTCCAAAGTTAAGGTTCCAGGTGCTCACAGATACGGAGAGAGTTGGATCTAGAGCCTTAGGATTTAACCACCTGTTTAGACAGGGAGCAGGGAATCAAGTGGTTGTGGATTTCCCAGATTTGCATGACGATGTAGTGTTTCGGCTCCTAAAAGGTATATTTCTATAGGATTTTGTGACTGGTCGCATTTCTTTCAAGAATTTCTTTTTTGATAAAACCAAACCAAAAGATTCTCATCCCCTGTGAGTTTAGGATAATACTATATTTGAGTGAAAATACAGATTCCTAGGTTTCATAAATAACATCTCTCCAGAGATGAGCAGGCAGTAGTCCTCCGAACTAATTGCACTAATGCAGGCTTTTTTCCCCTTGTTTTCCCTTTCCTTTGACTGACTTAGAGACTCCAAGTGAGGAAATAGATAATAGAAGTTTAGAAGAGATTTTGAATAGCATCCCTCCTCCCCCACCTCCAGCAATGACCAATGAAGCTGGGGCTCCTCGTCTTATGATAACTCATATTGTAAACCAGAACTTCAAATCCTATGCTGGGGAAAAAATTCTGGGACCTTTCCATAAGGTATTTGACCTTTTTAAAATAACTGTTGTAAGGTAATGCGTCTTTATTATAAAATGTTTCAATTTTGTAGTTATTGTATTTATGCTGATTGATTAAAAATACGGTATGTTTCCTATGCTTTTAACAACTGAAATTAGCTTTTGTTTGGTTATCTTTTGGTACCTCTCTTTATAAAGTTTTCCACACTGAATAGAATTGGTGGGTTTTATGTTTGAAAAGAGTATTTTCTCTTTAATTCTAAGAATGAATTTTGTAAAAAGTCTGAGTTAAAATTAGAATATGGTGTTATTTAAAGTGTTGAAGCTTGTGATATGAGACATGATATATGAAAACAGCTATCTTTAACTTTTTTTTTTTCCTGTTTTTATGCAGCGCTTTTCCTGTATTATTGGGCCAAATGGCAGTGGCAAATCCAATGTTATTGATTCTATGCTTTTTGTGTTTGGCTATCGAGCACAAAAAATAAGATCTAAAAAACTCTCAGTTCTAATACACAATTCTGATGAACACAAGGATATTCAGAATTGTACTGTAGAAGTTCATTTTCAAAAGATAATTGATAAGGTAAGGGACTTTGTTTAATTATTTGCAACTTCAAGTAAGGAGCACAAAGGATTTCAATGTTGCACATTTTATTATTTTTGGCTTAAATTGGCTCGTAAAAATTAGTATATGGTTAAAGCAGAACCAATATTTATTTCATTACCTCCATGACCATATTTTCTTTTTGAGTATTGGTGGTAGTGGCTGTTAAACTTAAAATATTAAAATTTTTAGCCAGGGAAATGAATTATAAGTAGCTAATAATAATGCTTACCTTTTTGGTGTAAAACGTTGAGCAGTTTTAGTATCCCGAGTACCAAGTAAGCATTCTTTTACTATAAATTTTGGATTCGTTTTTATTGCTTTCAGATAAGTTACGTAAACTTGAAAATGTTAACAGTTTGACTAAGTTTACCATCTCCCTTATTTCATTTCGCATTAAATTTAATGTTACTAGTAGTCATCTGTATAGGTGGTACGAAAGAGCTTTGCTTCAGTTTGAAGTAAACTACCCTTTTAAAACAGGAAAGGGTAAGGTAACATGTTTGTTTTCTAGAAGAGGAGACAATTATAGGTAAAATGCCTATTTAGATTATTCACTTGGCTCTGTTGGTATTGGGATTTTTTTTCTCTTCTATTTAATAATTAACTTTTGAAATACGTGGTTCAAAAATGACTGACTGGAACCTAAAAATGACACCCAAGCATCACCAGTAGAAAACTAATTACATAATGAAATGAGGTTGTGATTTGGCCTCTAGGTCTTGTTTTGGTTTTGTTTTGTTTTGTTTTTAATTTTAATATAAACAGCTTTAAATCTACATGGTGGTATATATTTTAATTTTGTTTCTTAGTGCTTTTCTATTGTACAGTTTGGGTTGGAAAGTAGATTGCCAGTAAATCAGATTTGATTCCATTGCTTATTAATTACACTTGATTTGTGTAAATTTTAAAAACCATGATTTCAAAATGACATAGATTTTAAAGGAAAGCAAGTTTTAATGTTAAAGCAGATTTGCACTTCATTTTTTAAATTTGTTTGATTAAAAAAATAGGAGAATGTAGTTGTCAATTCTTTGCAATTTTTTTTACCTTCAATTAATGACATATTCTTCACCCAAAAAAGGAAAAAAACTAAGCTGTATCATCCAACTACTATACTTCCCTTCCATTTTCCTCAAATCATCTCTTGCAGCTTTTTTTTAATGGACTAGTAATCTGTCAACATGGTTTAATAATTTGGGTGAGTTTGTTTTGGATACAGTGGGTTTCTTGTGCCCCTTCATCAATTCTTTTCTCAGTCGAATATGTTTTTAGGCTTGAAGGTGGGGTGTTTTCTTTTTTGTTTGTTTGGTTGCATTGACTTTTTGGTTTTTGTGATCTAAGAGGAAGGAATCAAAGAACTTGAAAAATTATTTCTAATCTTAGCTAAGATTAATTCTAAGGACTGTTGTCAGTTTATGTGCATATTCAGTTGAAGTTCTTAAGCCATAGAATTGGTTTCAGTATGAAGTGAGTGAAATTTGGAGCAAACCTCTGACTTAATACCAACAATTGTTTTCTGGTTTTGTTTTTCCTCAAAACAGGAAGGGGATGATTATGAAGTAGTTCCTAACAGTAACTTTTATGTATCCAGAACGGCATACAGAGATAATACTTCTGTTTATCACATAAGTGGGAAGAA